TGTGTGTGTGTGTGTGTGTGTGTGTGTGTGTGTGTGTGTGTGTGTGTTTGAGAGAGTTGTCTGTCTGTCCTTTCACTAATTCTACACTCTGGCGTTACTATCACATTGCAGTTAGTCTTGAAATAAGGCTCTTCATGATTCTGTGTTTTGTCTGTTTTCTAAGATTCCTGGCATAATGGGTTAATGTTGGCTGTCCACTTGATTGGGTTAAGAAGGAGATTAATAAAGCATATGTCCTCTGGGAGAGTCTGTGGCAATTTCCAGAAGGAATTAACCTAGGGTGCGACACCCCTCCAATGTGGACGGCACTATCCCGTTGGGAAGAAGCCCAAACGAACACGTGGAAAGGAGAAAGCCTGCGAGTGTAGACATTCTCCTTCTGCCCTGAGATACCCTGAGGCATAGAACTTGGCTCCACCTTGTCCTTTGGCCATAATGGACTGAAACTGTGAGCCAGAGTAAATCTTTCCTTTCTTTGAATTATTTCTGTCAGACATCTGGCCACAGTGGGAAAAGTCTGATTAATACAGTTAATGCAAGATCTTTCATCTTTAAAAAAAAAAAAAAAAAAAGTTTAGTAATTGGCTTGTCAATTTCTACATAAAAGATAACTGGGATTTTAATTTGAGTTATGTTGACTTTTGATCAACTTGATTTGAGTAGTGTGATGATTAATTTTGACTGTCAACTTGATGGGATTTAGAATCACCTAGGAGACTCGCCACCGGGCATTTCCAGAGGCTATCCTGATGAAGGTAGGCTTGCCCTTAAGGTGGGCAGCACCTTCCAGCAGGCAGCCCTAACACATGGTTCCAAGGAAAGTCAGTGTGTGTGTGTGTGTGTGTGTGTGTGTGCCTCCTCCTTTTCCTAAGTTACAGAGAGCCTATCTATCACACTCTTTTGACTACCCTGACACCACATTCCAGAAAGTCTATTCATGTCATATTCCAGCAAAACATTTGGTTATATACTTCCTGTTGGAAAAAAAAAACTGAATAAGCTGAGTTTCAAAGTAATGGGCTAATCTGCCTTGTAAAGGAAATTTCAAGACAGCACAGCATTTCGGCTGTGGCGTGATTACTACTCATTGTTATTAGTCATATTTACAGTGAAAGAGAGCAGAAAATGTGAAAATGTGCAGCTTGGTGAAGAGAGGCACATGAGAAAGTTGGACCTTGTGGAGAAGGTGGGAGTAGGATAAGCAGCTGAGACTGTTAAGGACTTAGCACCATTATAGAGAAACCTACTCTGCACTGAGTCGGTAGGAAAGGTGATCTGAGAACAAGATCCCACCCATCAAAAGTCTCAGTTTGTATCAGTGTAGATTCATTTGAGAGGAGAGGGCTTGGGCTGAGGTCACTGAAAGGGTTTTTGAAGACAACCACCGGAGAAGTGTTTTTCTAGAGTCAGCTAGGTCAGTGCACAGAGGACACCACAGAAGGGAAGGAAATGCCTGTGGAAGGATTGACTAGGGGGTAAGCCCTGCCACAGACATAGGTGGCACCATCTAACATAGGTGGCTGGGGTTTGGGACTGAATAAAAATGGGAAAAAGAAAGGGCCATCTGGATGTCAGTATTCTCCTTTCCCTGTCTCATAGCCGGCCACCATGACTTGCTTTACCATTATTCCTTCCTGTAATGACTGTATCCGCTAACAGTGAGCCAAAACAAATCTTTTAGTTGCTCCATTTGAGTATTTCTATCACAGTGATGAGAAAAATGATACAATTATCATAGTCTCTTAAAAATAAGGGAAAAATCACTTTTTCAGAGAGTGATTATAAAAAAACATCTAAGTTTTTTCAGACCCATCAGCATACTATAGCTGTCCATGGCCTAATGGGGAGGAGACAGTATAGAATAGATTCAATGTGGAGTGGCAGGAATACAATGTGTCCTACATACCTCCTGCTAAAGACACAAAGTATACATAGAGTTAGAACCGAAATGCACTGAGAGCTAACAGAAAGGAGAATAGGACTCTTGACAAATATTCAAAAGGACTACAACATCCCCACAAGCTGCTTGAACTGAAGTAGGAGTTCACTGGTGAAGAGGAGAGGAGGGAAGCTAATTCATTAAAGGAAATAATAGGATCAATGGTATGAAGGTGCAGGAGGCTTGAGAGGAGATGGGCTACAAATGAATCCAAAATCCTGTGTTAAGGAATGGGATTTCACGCTCTGGACCTGGAAGTCCACAGAGGCTTCTGAGTGGGAAAGTGTAATTAGATCTTCGTTTGAGGTTGATCCTTTGCTTGGTGGGCAAAAGATCCCCTGGAGAGGGCCTTCTGAGTATTGTGGTGTGTCCAATAATCAGGCTTCAGGTCCTGAGAAGAAGAGGCCATTAACTTGAGAGGAGACAAGGGATTGCAGTAGGGTAGAAAAGGCACCCGGCGATATATCTACCCCAAGAGCGTTTGTCACTCTCCGGACATATCCCCAGGCCCATGCTGAGCTGCGCCATGAAATACCAACAACAAATTTCACCGCTCTCAAAACACTAAACAGAAACACATGATCTGGACACTCCACGAAGATCTGCAGTCTGCCCCTTGAGAATAATATTTTGTACGAATGTTATTTTAAAAAAATGCAACCTTCTAAAGATAGCTTGACTTCTAAGATTCTACCATCAGAGTTGAATAACTTTTGGCAACGTTTGCATATAAATCTGGTCAGAGCCTTACTGTGAAGTTTGAGAAAGAGACAGATAAAGCAGCTGGCCAGAGAGCTGGTGACAGAAACAACTATTTCTTGAAAATGAAAAATAGGGCAGAAAGTCACTTTGTTTTATCTTTACAAAACTTTGGACAACAACATTCTCCCCCAGCTGACCCCACAGATCAAAACCAGCTCCAAATGGGAGTCACTAGGTATTGGCCAGCAGTGGAAATCAAAACCCAGTGGCCCTGATCACCCTGTTTCTTGACTTTCCTTTATTTTTGTATTTCAGGATGACAGTTGCTTTACTTACTCGATGTCACCTGTCGATTCAATAAGCTTTCTGATTCTTCTGCCAACTTCGGACTCTGAAGTTCTAATCCAAGCCACAACACAAGAGTCCATGACCCCTTCACTCCTTGCCAAGCCATTCAAAACAAGAGCAAGAACCCTGTCTTGGAGTGACTGTTCGGTCACAGGTCTGCATGTTCATCTAAGAGTAAACATTCTGGGCATAGACACTCCCTACCTCTCTGGGGGCAGTTATATGCAAAGTCCCCAGTTATACCTTCCTTTTCCCTGGTCCACAGCCCTTGTGTCTTAGTTTGGGTTACTATTGCCATGACTAAACGCCATAACCAAACCATAACCATAACCAAACACTGTAACCAAAAATTGGGGAGGAAAGGATTTCTTTGACTTACACTTCCACATCTATAGTC